TTCCTGCTGCCGGAACAGCTAAAGCTGTGCTCCCATCCTGTTACCTTGGAGACTGACTTGTATCCAGAATTGGAATTTGCTATTGGACTGGCTGTTTTAACTTGCTAGCCCTGTGTTTTTCCATTTCTCACTGGTTCCTTTCCAGTGATTTCAAAGCCTCAATTTCAGCACGCAGTGTAAGCATCAGGGTGTGGATTCTGCTGGCCTCCTAGGAGCCAATCCTGACAGTAGTCTCTCTGGAATTTAGTAAGATGGTTGACATAATTTTAATAGTAAAGAAAAATGTAGGGGTTTGACAGCATATACCAGTACAAATGTCTTGGGACCAGTACCAGTTGACTGCTTTAAACTGTTGTTAATCTCTAAATTTCATGCAAAATTTAGGTCTTATATTAGACTGTAAACAACCATAATAAATGGCTGATTTTTTGCTAATGGTATAGGTTATTTTAATAAAATGAAAAAAACAAATAAGTGACTGCAGAGATCTATAAATATAGTAGGATAATCCTCTATCGCTGAAATTTGTCACTTACCTGAATTAAAAACACTTTGATGTTATAGTCTTCTAAATCAGTAGCTGTTATTCGTAAATTTTTGTGGTTTGCTTTTTGAATCTCCATTTGAGCCCAGAGTTTACTATTGAGAATCAGCCTCAGGCTGCCTTGATTGTGCATAACTAAAATAGGAAGATGAATTTATCAGACTTTAGAACAGTTGATTCCTTAGCCTTTCAGAGGAATTTGCCATTTTGGAAAGCAAATAAATCTGGTAGTTGTCTTTCAGACTCTATTGTCACTACTAAATTGTAATTTAATTGACTAGATTATAATTTGGTTTCCAAATTGGGCTTTATTATGTTGGAGGACCTATTTATTAGCTTAAATGCTAAAAATGCTATATTTTTTTTACTATAATATTAAAAAATGGTTAAATTTTAGAATTCCTTTGAGGACATAATGGTCTGAAGAATATATACCCAAGAATTGTTTATAATGGAGAAAACTGAAACGAAAACTTTAAGCATTCAAAAAATGGAATTAGTTAAATAAATTATGGTACAGCTATTGAGGATATTATGAACTCATTAAGAATACTAAAGAAAGATAATTATTAATGTAGAAAGGTGACCATGGCATACTATGCAAAAGAAAAAATCAGGTTACAAAGTACTATAAACAGCATTTATCACAAATTTTTCAATGGATTGTATACATTTATTGTATACAAAGTCCTTAAGAATATATTTTATTGACAGAAGCTAGCTACTACGGGAAGATAGGCCTATGAGTAATTTAGTTTTTTTTCTTCTTGTCGATCCATATTTTCCGTCTCCTGTAATGGACATGTATTACCTGTATAATTAAAAGAAAAGTTGTTTTGTGCATTTTTTTGGCAAGTAGTGGAAGGAGTGAAATTAAACCAGAGTAGAAAACAGCTAATACCTGCCTTGGGAATGATAGTCAGGTTATTTAGAAACCTGTTTGCCAGGGCTCCTAACTCTCTTAGTCTGAATTCTATTCCTTACTTCTTGAGCTTGATATCTGAAACTCACCAGATATCCATTTACCAGCTTCTACCTGTGGTCTCCTGCACAAGATTTGACCACCCGATATTGACCAGTAAACCCATCCACCCCGGCCCAGATCTCTGCCTGTGCTTACTTTCAGTTTGGACCTCTGAACAATGCCCAGTGTGTCTTTTGGATGCCAGAAACCTCCTCAGGCTTTTGGTTTGGCTGACCAAATTCTGACCAACACTCTGCCTGAAGGATTCAATAACCACACACCTTTATTTACTTGGAAATTGACCTTTCATCCCAACCCACACACTGTGTTTAGAATGCCAAGAATAACGTACAGGGCAAATATTCTCTTTTAGAAAAACGATTCCACTTCAAAAATAAATTCATCACATTCCTTTAAATAATAATGAGATCACTATTTAGATGTTTGCTGGGCTCGGTCATAGGTGCTTTACGTGCATTATCTCACTGATTTCTCACACTCACTAAGTCATGGACTTCTATTATTTCCACGTTAAAGTGATGCAACTGGGGCAGAAGGAGATTAAGTAATTTGTCCAAGGTCACCAGTTAGTAATGGAGCCAGAACTAGAACCTGTATAGTCTGACATCAGAGCCTACTTTAAATAGGAAGCTCCTATAGTACATTAAAAATAATATTGTTTAATTTACTGACAGCAGTCTAATTTATTGACACATTACACATCTCCAGAAAATGATGTGTGCTTATATTGGAAAAATTTCCCTGAGAAATACTGACTCGCTTTACAAAATGATTCCTTACTTAGTCTTGACTGGAATGTTCCACAATCACTGCTTGCTGTGTCATTCAGTCTCAAAGCTCCTCTGCCCCTTTCAATCCAGGACTGTGTTGTTTTGTTGAATATAAAAAGCTTGCAGTTGATCTAAAGGACAATTTTTTTAAATGTCAAAATATAGAAAATTTTTCAAAGTGATTTCTTTCCTATGCTATAACACTTTTATTTGTCTGATATTTTACCAGAATAACCTTTGTTAATGATTTCTAAACCAGCTTTAAAATTTTACTTAGCTTCTGAAACAATACAGTTTTTGAATAGTTCAAACATTAAAAAGCAAAAAGATGTACAAAGTGAAAAGTAACCCCACCAACACTAGTTCCCCATCTACCAGTTTTCACCCCCTACAACAGGTAAGCATTGTTGCTAATATTTTGTTTATCCTTCTAGAGATATTTGTATGTATATACATGCCAATATGTATATATTTTTCTCCTATTTTTTCTATAAAAATAGAATACCATATGGTAGAATACCATAAATACTTTCCGCATCTTTCTTTTCCACTTAACAATATATCTATATATACCAACTTTTAAATTAAACAATGTTATTTGAATTATGTAATTTATCTGAAAGTTAAGGAGTCATGGAATTATTTGTATGTTTTAAAAATTTTAACAAATACAGCATCTGAACTAGCATGTGATACCACAGAGTACCATACTATAATTTAATGCTTAACAGTGGTTCTCAAATACTACTATGTACAAGAATCACCTAGATGACTTGTTAAAAATATAGCATGTCAGGGCCTCACCCCTAGTGATTACTTCAGTGAATCTGGGATTAATCTGATCTGAGAGTTAGGCTGTGAGACACACTTGTACAGTAAGTGTATCAGTAGATCAAGGGGGAAGAAAATAGGAATGAAGAGAGTTTGGGGTAAAAGAGATGGAGAAAGGCTAAGGGAAATCTGTGCTTTGTTGAAAATGATTAAGTTGTGGTAATTACATTTTATATGCCTAGATTGACAGCTATACCACTCAACATTTGAATCCTAGGTGTGACACTATATACTATATCTGTGAAATTCTTGATTCATGTGAAATTCAAAACTTACTTAAAAGAACCTTTAGGATAAACAACAAGGTCCTACTGCATAGCACAGGGAGCTGTATTCAATATTCTGAGATAAACCACAATGAAAAAGAATCTAAAAAAGAATGTATATATCTGTATAACTGAGTCACTTTGCCGCACAGCAGAAACTGACACAACATTGTAAATCAGCTCTACTTCAATTTAAAAAAAGGAACTTTTAAAGGAAAACAAAAAACCTTTTTATTATCTTGAACTGAAATCAATTCATCTTATCTGCATTTTTAACTTTCAGTGTAAATAGAATTTTAAATCATATGATAACAACAAATTATAAAAGCTGACATGAAAAGTGTAAAACATAGGTTGTTTTAAGGCAGGGTCCTTGGTTGTCTTCTTTCTAAGGGACTAACTGGCATGGTTGTAAAGACAGCAATCCATTTTCCTGCAAATTATACATACAAATGTAAGAATACAACAAAATATTGGTATAATCCTTGGAAGCCTATAACATTTTTATTTAAGCATCTCAGTCTTTCTGGAAAGTATACTTCTGCCTTTATTTTTCAAGCTGTCTCTGCTAAGGGTAGCTTATTCCACACGTGGAGGTGCGGCCAGGAAGAGCAATACATGAGGCACAGACCTTTAACACACTGTGCTCTGTCTCCTCCCCGGTTATGACATCAATTTTCTCCAGCAAACATTTTGGTGATGGTTTAGAAGAGAAAGCAGCAGCTGATTCAGTTAGGGGTATATTCTTAAGAGAGTCTGTTCCTGAGAGAAAATAGGGGGAAAGAACACATAAAACGCCCCATTTTCCCTACTGTGAAAGTTCTTCCTTGCCCCTGTTAACATGCATGTAGCCTTAGCTTTTTACAACGAGCGTTTCCAAAAAATCAAACTGCTTGAGTTGAGGCAGATCTCTTTAACGATCCCCCCATATCATTAAGTCAAACAATTATTAAAGCTTATATATCATGTTTATATGCTTTAATCTTCACCAAACATTTTAAAACACTGGGCTATTGTTTTTGTATTTTATAGATATTAAACAAATGACATGGAAAAACAGGAAGTACACCAGTTGAATCAGATGTTTTACAAATGAAATAATTCTTACTTGAGTTTGGAGCGTTGATAGGAAATTTTAAAGTGAATTTGAATGGTTTTTCCTTGATGTATGAATCATTTTCAAGTTGAGGCTGAGTGAGTTTTTGAGTACCCTACGTGGGGGAAAAAGATGTATTACTTAATTGTATCCCCATATATTTGCAGTAAGCCAAGAGATACTTTTGTTCTTCTCAGGGTGGCAAACAAACCCGAAAGCTCTGTTTTTGTTTTGGGCTCCTTTTGCGCTGAACAGAGAATTCCTCCCCATTATTAGAAGACCTTGGTTCTGATCTCAGGAAACAATCTAGTTACCACCAGCCTACTTCAGGTGGCATCTAGTTCCAGGGGCAATGGGAAAGCTTTTCGAGACCCAAAAGGTGGTAGTAGCTGTTCCATGCTACCACCACACTAACCTGATGCCTAGAAGGAGGTGCAGCTGTTGTCACTTTTTCAAGGTATTTCAGTATTCTCAACAATCCACTCTTTCTATCCAGTTCATTTAAAAAATTAAAAAGTTATCCAAAGAACCCACTAGCTGTCTCACATCATCACTACAGAAGGAATCCTAACTTTTCCTCTAAGACAATTTTTGCCAACAATCACTTTTTAAGGCTGCATACCTGGGGATTCGCACATGTGTTGTAATCAACGCCTGTGTGAAAAAAGACCAAGTAATTTCCATGCCATTTATAACCTCCTGTACAGCCCCCTGCGTAGCTCCTTGCAGAACAGGGAGAATTGGACAATACTTCAGAACTTAGGTTTATGTATTTTCCCTTACTAATTCAAGATTCTTTCACATTATTTAACTGGACATCAAGATAATCTGTTAAAATTGGTAGAGATGGGTGTAACTATTTCCATTTTAAGAAAACAGAAACTAAAGCACAGAAAGTTTAATGACTTACTCTTAAAAGCACGTGGTCAGCAAACAAATCAAGAGGGCATCCTGGCCCCCAAATCACACAGCCACAGGATTACAGGATTAACTAGAGGACAAACACAGGTGATCGCTACAGCTCCTGCTATCCTAGCATGTTATCAGCTTAAGGAGACAGGAAGCTCAGGTTCCTTTGTAAGTCAAGGTGAAGCGTCCATAGGAAATGCACACAGGTACCTACCTCCTCACACCAAATCTGTAATTCCCTCTGTAGTTCATTTGTATAGGTATCTCTGTCTTTCCCTTTACTGGACTATAAATGTCTCTAGAGGACAGGGTCTTTAGCTTTGCATAACCACTTACCCAGGTGGTTTTCAATCCTGGCTGTATAGTCAAATCACCTGACACCTGGCCTCACCCATGGAGATCCTGATCTAATTGGTTAGGGGAGATGGCCAGGCATGAGTCCTCTGAAGGCTCACCAGACGATTGTAATATGCCACCAAACTTGAGACCAATGCCAATGCTTTATATATCATAAGAACACAATCCATGTCTGTTAAATGAGTTGAATGTTAAAGTTGATCCCATGAGGTTTGAGGAGTATTTTATTTGTGTCTGTGACATCTTACAGAAGCTGCGACTAATCTAGAATAAACGTGCCTAAATATATTGCCTGGAAGTTGGTCCATTCTGGTTCAGATCCAAAGGTGTAGGTCAACAGCTCTAGGATTGCCGGAGCTGACCATCTTGGGAGTGGCGGAAGGGCGCCTCAAAGCTGAGAAGCTGTGATACTTCTCTTGGAATTGGGGTTAAGCCTGAGGCAGGTGTAGAATAAACTAGATCTTAAAAGTAACTGATTTGTGAAAGCCCTTAAAATCTTGGAATAAACAGGCCTCATGAGTCGGTGGTCCTTTTGTTATTCTGAGCCCTTGCACAGGTTTTAAAATCTGTACATCCTCCGTGAGATTCTTCATGTAACTAATAGCCCTGAGACAAGCTAGCTTCCTTGTCTTGTCTCAGCCAAGATTCTGGTCTGGGTGAAAGTGGAAAGAGTATAAAGATGTGTTGGACCAGATAAAACCATGGGCACATTTGCTGCACAGCTTCCACTTGGCTGTATAATTTCCCACTGTAGATCATGCTCTGTTTTAGAAACGTGCCCTACGGAGGACAGAGCAGCAACTGCCTCATGTAGGAGGATGCTCAGTATTAATTAAGGATGATGGTAATAATAATCAGGAGGTTCCACTTGGCAAGTACATCCTCCTAGGCAAGTAAAAGACTATGATTTTCCTCTTACAGCTAGCAAAAATGCTTTTCAATGTAAAAGCTTGAAGGGGAAAGTTGTGGTTAATGAGAAAACTTTGGCAAATGATTTTAAATGCATCTTGTTATAAAAAATGCTATTGAAAAACTGTATTAAAATATCATGACCAGTTGAGTTTATCTAACTATTGCAGATAGTTCTGGGATTTCCTTGGGTACCTCTGGTTTAATGCAAGTCAAAGAAGTATTTAGTGTTTCTTATCAGTAATAATGTTATAATTATACAATTCCCTTCCTCTGTGGTTCTTGTCTATTATTTTAACAACTAGAACTTGCTTCCCAGGAGAACCTTTCCAGTTAAAGATAGGAAATGTGCCTCTGAACTCAGGAGTTAAAAAGTATGCTCCAATTTAACATTGTCTTAATTAATTTGCCTTCAGAAATTTGAAGTGACAGCTCTCTATATAATAATAGAAACATTTGCCAAAATCTTACCAAAACTCTTTCTACCATGTTTTCTCCAAAAACGAAATCAGAACTGCAGCTTTTAAAAGAATACTTATCTTCATTTGGTTGACATCTAAGGAAAAGAAATAAGCATTTGCTATTTTAAATATAGTAGCAATGAATATAGCCATTTTAAAACTTAGCACATGAAATAATCAGATGATTTAATAGATTTGTGTAAAGCATAAAAACATCTGCTAACTTTTGTTTATCTGAAGTTAATGAGAAATGATGGAAAACTTGAGATAGGTACTTCCAGGGATGCTATTCAAAATATTTGACGGCTGTTACAGCGCTGGCCAAGACCAGTCCAAACAGGCTGTGTGATCAACAGGGGAGCTGCCCAGCCCTTATCTTTTTGCTTTTCCAGCACTGACTCATCTCCCGTCTCCAGTCTCCACTCTTCTCTTGCCCAACTGGCCAATGCTTTTAGTGATCCAAGGTCTCAGGGCAAAAGCAAAGCCAATCTGTCTTCTCAGTTATACTTGAGTGTGCAGTGGTTTAATTTGGTTTTTCCCTCCCAGAAACTTTTTTTTAGTGTTTTAAGTGTTTTGCATAATGAGAAACTCAAAGACATGCAGCCCTCTGTTTGTTGGCAGATGGACTCCGGGATCCCTATTGCATCTCCAGTGTGCACAGTATGTAAGGGCTGAGGTACCTGCGTGGGCCCTAATCACGAGTCCAGAATGTCCACGGCTAGTTGTAATCTTCTCTCAGATCAAACATGCCCTCATCACTGGTGATGCTAGTAAATATTAACTTTAACTTTGCATATTTCTACTGCTTTCTTTGTTGTCTATCCAACCTATGTTAATAAATAATAATGCCAGAAATAATTTAAAAGGGGAAAGAAAGAATGCCATGGAAAGGCTATCTATTAGCCAATAATTAATGCCTAACTAAATAAAAATTTAGCTGTACCTATTTGAAACATACTTACCCAAGTCAACAAGACAACAGAGATGATCCAGTATCAATATGATAATATTTAAATATTAGAGATGTTTTAAAAAACATTTTAAATTTGTATATTTATAAAATCTCCTTTCAAACAGAAATCTTGGCATTTTATCTGTACAATGTCAGAAACTTTTTTCCCGGAAATGGTTATAATGATAAAAGAAAGCAAGAATGAAAGAACAACACCTGTTTCCCCATCACTAACTTACCCTACTGATGTAGGACCTAAAAAATTCTGGTTAGTAGACAGCTGGACTGAAATTCTGGCACTTGGTAAATTTTCACTTAGCAAATAGGAGTTCTCCTCAGAAATCTGAAAGAAAAAAGATCCATCAAAAAGTTCATTTAAACTGCCTTACTAGATACATAAATGTGTTGAAAACTTACTTTGTTTTATAACATTTTATATACATTATTTCATACGCTCCTGAGAACAACTCTATACACTTTGTACTTCTATTAAACACATTTTACAGGTAAGTAAACTGACCTAACAAGCTTAAATAATGGGGGCAGGCCTGGGCAACAAGGAAAGGGGACTGATATTCGAGCCTGGGTCTGCCTGACACCAGAGACTGAGCGTGAACATTCAGAAATCCCACCTCCTTTTGTTACTTTTACCCCTTTAGCCAAGTGGAGTTAATTCTCATTTCTAGATTAGTAAATATCTTTCAGGACTATTTAATTCCTGGAAACACCCTAAGAGCTTCACCATCATGGCCACCCAGTGTGAGAGAAAACTCCATCTCTTCCTCTAGAAACTTCCGACTGGTAACTAAATCAGTTAGTTACTCCATCTGATGTGTATATACATATGTACCTTACCTGCATTAATGTATAAATGAAGGAGTGAGCAGTTTTAGAACTGGAAGGAACCCCTATCTGTTATCTAATCTAGTGTCCTCAGTGTTTTGTGAACACATCCCTTCCTCCACCAGGGATTTTCAAAGATGTTGCAGGGACTTCCTATCTTTAAAGGTAAATGGGGTCTGTTTCCACTTTAATTTTATATCAATCAATAAAAATAATTTTGAGTATTTTTCCCTTTGTAACAGAATTTGAGAGCTGAGAAATATGTGTCAAGAGAGTATGTGCCGTTGGTTAGCAAAGATCAAAGTACATCCTTATGACTCAGTCACTCAGATGATTTATCTCAGCCAAAATGGTAGTTTTTAACTCTATGTTGGTTGAGATAGTTGTTATTAGGCATATATTATTTGAATTACATTCAATAAGTGACCAAAATTAATGACAGGATGAATGAAAATTGCTCTAATTTTGATATACAAGTTAATAAAGATCATAAAAATAAGTGTTTGATAAAATTCACCTACAGATAATTCTTACTAGATCTATAAATTATAATATTTTGTCAGAATTCTGACATAGCATCTTTTTTTTTAATTTTTTAATTTTATTTTTTTATACAGCAGGTTCATATTAATTATCCATTTGACATAGCATCTTATATATAGTTTGTCTTTAGATCTTCAAAAATCATCATTCAATGGAGAAAATTCAATGATGGGCATATCCAATTAGGCTTTTCACTTATCAGGATTAAGTTCTATTTATGCCCTTAATAAGTTATTCAAGAAGAAATGCTTACAAACAATAGTCTGAAAATTTATCTTATGCTTTATTTTTATTTTGTTACAAATTTTATTTTAAATACATGCAATGCAGGATTTCAAAAAATCATGGCAAAAATAAATATTGATCAACTTTTGATATAATGTGCAATAAAAATTTTAATCTATACTTTATAGAACATGCCATTCCAAAATCAAAAGCAATGTAATAACATTTTAGAAATTAGTCAACACATAATACTTTTTCTTACATACTTTAAAACAAATTAAACATGTATCACTCCTTAAATAGGTAAAGAATTTATGTAATATAGTGATGATTATATTTAAGTGAAAATGTTTAATAAAATACTGATTTGAAATTTAAAATATGTTATACCTAAAAGTCACATCATATATCATGCATAAATGATTAAATGATTTTTAAAATTCATAATGGGTCTCATTAAATCATGTCTTAACAAAGAAAAAGATTTGGAAATATAAAAATGATGGTAGGGCTTCCCTGGGGGCGCAGTGGTTGAGAGTCCGCCTGCTGATGCTGGAGACACGGGTTCATGCCCCGGTCTGGGAAGATCCCACATGCCGTGGAGCGGCTGGGCCCGTGAGCCATGGCCGCTGAGCCTGCGCGTCCAGAGCCTATGCTCCACCACGGGAGAGGCCACAACAGTGAGAGGCCCGCGTACCGCAAAAAAAAATGATGGTAAATGCTGACCAAGTTCAATTCCCTCACTTCACTGATAGAAAAGAGAAGGTTGGGTGCTTTGTCTAAGAATGCAGACACAGTTAGATAGCAGTAAAGGTAGGATTAGTACCAATCAGATTATTTTCACTGAATTGATTAAATGATTCATATTTTAACACTTCCATGTGTCAATGAAAACACAGTTAAATAGCAGTAAAGGTAGGATTAGTACCAATCAGATTATTTTCACTGAATTGATTAAATGATTGGTATTTTAACACTTGCATGTGTCACTGTCCTCATGTTCAGTCTGGGAAAAAAAACAAAACCAGGTGATCAACCCTCAGTAGTTTAGCTGGAAGCAAATGACTGATGGAATAACTCTCAAATTCCACCCTATTGATCCTGTGTTCCCTTCCTCTCAAGTGTCTGCTTCTGGAAGACACAGATAGAACTATAGCAACAGAATATCCCCAAGCCCATATCTGCATGGCCTGAGTAAAATGAATATCTCCTTAGAAAGGCCCACAGCAAGCGATTCAGTTGGAAGAGAGAAATTGTTTCTGTCTCCAGAGGCTTCCCAAGCCCTCCCAATTATACTGTGGAGGTAGTTCTTTACTCCTGTTTGCACGAAGATGGTCTGGAATGGAAGCCACGCTAGCATGTCCACCAGTTGAAGATACAAAAAAAATCCCTTTCCTTTTTTTGACATCTGACTCCTGGCCCCTGCCACCGCATTGCTCCCTTATTCTCACATGGGATCAATGCACCAGAACAAGACCCCAAGGGTCCCCACTACACAGGACTCAGCTTTACAGCTTAGGAGATAACACAAGACTTGTTCCCGGGAGCAACCCTCCAGTTTAAGAGGACAAGTTTAATAAGGTTACTGAGGGCTTTTGGCTATCTTGTCCAGCTGTTTTTCCAGCCTGGTAGCTGCTTCAGCAACAGAACAAAGGTCAGGCAGCCCCTAATTCCAGATATGGGGGCCCACAACAATCTACCAAAAGAAGGGTGGGGAATTGAGGTCATTCCTACCATAGGAGGTTTTCTTACCTTATTTTTGTTTTTTTCTCTACTCTTGCAGGATTCCAGCACATCGTGTCCAAATGCTTTTCTTACTTTTATACACTTTTGAGCTTGAGGTGGCTGCAAGATAGCAGGTCTTAGAACATGTTCAGAATGTTTCACAGGGCCTTAAAAGAACAGAATTAAAGGGTCAATATATCTTTAGTGAAATACTTTTCCTCTATTTTTTTACTAATTTAATGCTAATTTTCTAAAGTCATGATTAAGCGAGGGGTCAATGTTAACTAATCAAAGTCAAAATAGCCAGTGAGCTGCCTAGTACTTTCTTCCTGCCTACCTTTTACCCAGTAACTATTCATTTTGATCATGGGACTTAGCTTACCAAATGCTTTCCTTCATGTTTTGTCACTCAACCACCATACCACCATACACACACACAGAGATTAAGATATGGATGGTAAAACAAAATTTCTGAGGTTCTTGTAATAAAGAGAAGCTACATACCTTGTTCTGCACTGTTCGTATCAACATTCCTTTGCACAAAAGTTGATGTCATAAAAACATTGTTTTTCTTCACTGTAAAAAACATGTTTACAAAAATTTTTAAACCTATAGTCAGTTTCTACTGTTTTAACCGTCTTGCACTGAACTCACCAGTAGATGTCACTGTTGGCACTAACAGAGTAGTAGGCAGTGCTCATGAGAGCACTGATTCTGCTAAAAAAGTGTGATGGCAAGATGAGTTTCGCTACCGTCTTTTTACTCAGAAAAATAAGTGAAAATTAGGTCGCAAGTGAAATAGACAGTTTTCTTTAGAATCATGGAATTGAATACTGAGAGAAATTCTACAGATTATAAAATCTGAATTGGTAGTGAACCATCTGTGTGCATTAATATATATTTCTTATAGAATGTTATAAAACTGTTAGCAAATTCTGCCCCTTCCCCACTCTTTAATGATACCCGAAGAGAGAGGTAAAGATGACCATTATTCTAGGCCATTTTTCTATGAAGTGAATTGATGGGATAAGACTGTGGTCTTGGCTGCAAGAATAGAATTATAGGCATACCAAAGAGATACTGCTGATTGGGGTCCAGACCACTGCAATAAAATGAGTATCACAATAAAGTGAGTCACACAAATTCTTTGGTTTCCCAGTGCATATAAAAGTTACATTTACACTATACTGTAGTCTGTTAAGTGTGCAATAGCAATATATGTATCTTAATTTAAAAATACTTTATTGCTATGAAAAACAATATACCTATCTTAATTTAAAAATACTTTATTGCTAAAAAAATGCTAACCACCATGTGAGCCTTCAGAGAGTCATAATCTTTTGGCTGGGGGAGGGTCTTGCCTCAGTGTCGATGGCTGCTGACTGATCAGGCTGGTGGTTGCTGAAGGCTGGGGTGACCGTGGCAATGTCTTAACATAAGACAACAATGAAGTTTGCAGCATCAGTTGACTTTTCCTTTCACGAATGATTTCTCTGTAGCATGCAATGCTGTTTGATAACATTTTACTCACAGAACTTCTTTCAAAATTGGAGTCAGTCCCCTCAAACCCCCAACTGAGTTTATTCTAAATCCTTTATTGTCATTTCAACAACCTTTGCAGCATCTTCACCAGGACTAGATGAGCAGGAAACCACTTTCTTTGCTCATCCATGAGGAGCAGCTCCTCATCTGTTCAAATTTTATCATCAGATTGCAGCAATTCAGCCACATCTTTAGGCTCCACGTCTAATTCTAGTTCTCTTGCTATTTCTACGGCATCTGTACTTATTTCCTTACTGAAGTCTGGAACCCCTCAAAGTCATCCATGAGGGCTGGAATCAACTTCTTCCAAACTCCTGTGAATGTTGATATTTTGACCTCTTCCCATGAATTACAAATGTTCTTAATGGCAGCTAGAATGGTGAATCCTTTCCAGAAGGTTTTCAAATGCCTTTGTCCAGATCCATCAGAGGAATCACTGTCTATGGCAGCTATAGCCTTACAAAATGTACTTCTTAAATAATAAGTCTTGAATGTCAAAATGACTCCTTGATCCATGGGGTGAAAAGTGAATGTTGTGTTAGCAGGCATGAATGACATTAATCTTGTTTTACATCTCCGTCAGAGCTCTTGAGTGACCAGATATATTGTCACTGAACAGCAATATTTTGAAAGGAATCTTTTTCTGAGCAGTAGGTCACAGCAGTGGGCTTAAAATATTCAGCAAACCATGTTGTAAACAGGTATGCCATCATCCAGGCTTTGTTGATCCATTTATAGGACACAGGCAGAGTAGATTTATCATAATTCTTAAGGGCCCTAAATTTTCAGAATGCTAAATAAGCACTGGCTTCTATTTAAAGTCTGTAGCTGCATTAACCGCTAACAAGATTGTCAGCCTGTCCTTTGAAACTTTGAGGCCAGGCACTGACTTCTCCTCTCTAGCTATGAAAAGTCCTAGATGGCATTTTCTTCCAGTATAAGGCTGTTTCATCTACATTGAGTATCTGTTGTTTAGTGTAGTCACCTTCATTGATGATCTGAGCTAGACCTTCTGGATAACTTGCTGCAGCTTCTCTATCAGCACTTGCTGCTTCACCTTGCACACTTATGTTATGGAGACGGCTTCTTTCCTTCAACCTCATGAACCAACATCTGCTAGCTTCAGAGTTTTCTTTTGCAGCTTCCTCAACTCTCTCAGCCTTTACAGAACTGAAAAGAGTCAGGGCCTTGTTCTTGATTAAGCTTTGGCCTGAAGGAATATTGTGGCTGGTTTCATCATCTCTCCAGACCACTAGAACTTTCTCCATATCAGCAAGAAGTCTGTTTCACTTTCTTATCATTCATGTGTTCACTGGAGTGGCACTTTCAATTTCCTTCAGGAACTTTTCCTTCACAGTCACATATTTGCTAACCGTTTGGTGCAAGAGGCCTAGTTTTTGGGCTGTCTTGGCTTTAGACATGCCTTTCTCACTAAACTTAATCATTTCTAACTTTTGATTTAAAGTGAGAGACATGTGACTCTTCCTTTCACTCAAACACTTAGAGGCCACTATAAGGTTATTAACTGGCCTAATTTCAATATTGCTGTATCTCAGGGAATAGGGAGGCCTGAGAAGAGGGAGAGGGATGGGAGAACAGGCTGGTTGGTGGAGCAGTCAACATACACATTTATTAAGTTGGCCATCATAACTTATATGGTCGTGGTTTAAGTGCCCCCCCAGAATTATTATTACAGTAGTAACATCTAAGATCACTGATCACAGATCCCCATAACGGGTATAATAATAATGAAAATGTTTGAAATATTGTGAGAATTACCAAAATATGACACAGAGACACAAGGCAAGCAAATGCTGTTGGAAAAGTGGCACCCATAGACTTCCTCGAGGTACGGTTGCCACAAACTTCCAATTCGTAAAAAATGCAATATCTGTGAAGTTCAATAAAACGAGGTTATGTCTGTACTACACATCTCAAAGAGATCACCTCTTGGTTGCAAATCGCAGAAATAGCAACCTTTGAGTGTTGGATTAAAGGAGATGAGAAAAGAATAAGGATTGCTTCTTCGAATATTTTAAATGTTGGGGTAGAATAGCTTCTCTAATTCAAAGTTCAATTACATGGTTTTTATGATCTTTATTATTAAAAAGTAACACTGAATGGGCCATTTAAAATTGTACTATTTGTCTCCATTCCAACAGCGCCAAGATTCTGCACAACATAAAATGGGATGTGCTTGGTAATATCAGTGGTTTTTTTAATTCATTCTTTTTGTATGTGTGTCTGATTTTTAGAAAATGAATTGAAGCAGTTTTCCAGATAATTTAAAGCCATCCCTTTACTTTACGCACAAATACAATAAAACAAATCCTCTGGGATTAAGACCCCTATTCCTCTTAATGTCTGTAACTTGTCAGGCAGATATAGATGGGGCTTATTGAACTAGAACTTATCTCTTCTGTATGTGAAAGGTGTCTGACCATATCGTTGCTCAGTCACGCTTGGAATTGTTAATAAGAATATAAATTCATTAGTTTGAAAACTCTGTGGTTCCTGGGTAGAATACGCTAAAAGGAAGTCAATAGTTTGTATTTTCTGTTTCTTGTGGTAAGCTTAACTCGGAAAAGGCAGTTGGTTGTTCAGTAGAAACAAAAATATACAAGAATACAAATCATAATCTTGATGTAGAGCATGTTTCAACCATTTCAAATATTTTATTATGATAAAATAGTTCTACTTAACAAAGTATTACAAATTTCAAATAAAAAGAGGTAATGTTTTAATTAGTGAAAAATTCAAAAGGAATCATATTCTAAACTTTAGAATATAAATTTAAAGCATAAACTTTGAGAATCTACACATAGTTATATATTTTGAGTACTACATATATTATAAACTGTACAGATGGGCAATAATAAGGAAAATAAAGCAAGTTACTATATTTTATAGGGCTACCTTACATAAAATAATGCTATCATAAACATGAAATCCTAAAAAACGTAATCAAGCTTAAACTTTCTACCAAAACTAAACAGATATACTGTCTAGATTTGTGGGGCTAGTACTCAGAAGGTATTCTTCCATGCATACTTTGCTAAGGCCCCTAGTTTATTTGCCACTAAAATGTCAGAGTTTTATAGTAGCCAAAAAAGAAAGCTCATCGTGAATAAGAATGGATTCTGAAAAGTCAGAGTGTCAGGCTTGAGGTTCTAAGAAGTTCTTTATTACCTGGCCCAGAAGGGGGGAAGGTCGGGAGATCCGTGAAGGATGACGATCTTAGTCGCTTCTGGGACAAGGTTGATGCTAAAAGCAGATTGCAAACTGGAGTCAATAAGGAAGTGGGTTTTGTTTTTCTTTTGATTTGGATTTTTGCTGTTTTAGAAAATTTTCTTTATCACCAGATTAGAAAAATCTTTGTATTTTTATCGATTAAAAATAAAGAGTGCCTCTGGTGAGAATTATTCAGTAAATATTTACATGATCATCGTGTGTTAGACACTCTATCAGGCATGAAGATGACCTCAAGGAACTCTCAGTGGAGGAGACAGACATATACATAAATAGCTGTATGATGCAACAGAGGGCAGTGTGATCTATCATAAAAGGAGTCACCAGAGTGCTTTGAGTATAGGAGAGAGGCAAACTAAGTTAATGGTTTATTCAAAACACAGCATATGATAAAGTTCTTAGAATAAAGTGTTTTTTTAAAAGCAGACATCTGTTTATTTAAGTAGATGTTTACTTAGGAGGAAATAGCAGTTTCTCCTAATTGTAAAGCTAATACATGCTTAATGCAGAAACTTTGTGAACACAGTAAAATACAAAGGTCGGAGTGGGGGCGTGGAGCGGGCAGGGGGTGGTGGACAGGGGAACCAAATCACTTGTAATCCCATTACCTAAGATAACCATTGCCAACACTGTGGTTTATATCCTTTCAGTCTTTTTTCCAATGTTGATTAATTGAATTTTTAAATAATAACTCACTGTGCAATTCATTTATAGACTGCTATTTTCATACAGTACATTATAAACACTGTCAATGGGTAGATTTTTAAACATTACGTGTTTGAAAAGTCCCTTAGTAGTGTCACACTCATAGTAAACATAACAGTGAACACTCAACAGTCAAGGCTATACCTACCTTCTTGGGACTGAGAATCTGTAGTATGCAAAGTAAAAGATGAAGACCGGACACGCTTTCTTGAAGAATCATTACACTCTGTAAGAAATTCAATGTGAAGGGTAAAACTGATTGCAATAACAAATTAGCCTCAATCCATGATATGAGAGGAGAAACAGAATTTCCTTTTCTCTAGATATATCATCGTTTGACAATGTGTTAATTCCTGAAGCACAGTGTTAGATATTGGGGTTAATAACTTGGTGATTATAAACCGATAGGCATATCATCCTACTATGAAACAATTAGAAACAAGTAGCTTTGGCAAGAAGTTGCGTACAAATTCTGAGATTGTATAGAGAATGCTTTTGGAAGGTTGAAGTACAGGCAGTGGAGAATCATGGGATTTTAGCGTTGTTAACATCAGTGTTCTCAAAGACCTACACGTCATCTTTCAAAGCAAGAGCCAGTCTACTTGCATGCTTAAAAACAAGAAAAACCATTCGATTTTACATTGTCTGTGCCACACGCCAAAATGCTTGTGCCTACTTATCTCTTTGTATAAAGATTGCTTTTGAAATACAGGATACAAATCATTACCATGTTCTGCTGCTTCATACAGGGTGTCTTCTGCAGGTCTCTGGAAGGAAACAAAGCTACCAGTGAGAGCTGAGTGTTTGCTGTTCTCAAATCAGACTTTCACCCTGTCACTTTATAAGAGAATTCTCAGAAGCCAGGTCTATTCAGCTAGGCTAGGAAAAGCTGCTCACCTTTACTCACTAGGAGTTGAGTTTTTCTTTAGTTAGTTTTGTGGGTAGTAGGGTAAATTACCTCCATAAGTAAGAATGAATAACAAGAAAATACTAGTTAGGCTAAAGTGAGAATGCTACTAATGCTATTGTTTGTCTTTCAAAGCAAGTGATTTTAGTATGATGCTGAAAAAGCAAATAGAGTCTTTAAGATTTCTTTTGAATCATATATTGCAGTTTAGAACTTATTTTATATCCAGTTTTAAGCTAGGTCAGTGGTGGGGAACGCATGATGAGCCTTAGCCCTCCTAATCTCTTTCAGCCCCTCCCCTTTCCCAGTCACTCCAAAAAAACCCCCAGATAATTTGGTAAAAATGGCATGTTATCCATAGTTTCAAGATAAGGCCTCTGGCTTCCCATTTCAGCCAAATTGCTGTCAGTAAATCCCTATGATGTAAATATTCTGGAGTTACTACTCCTCTAAGTGAAGAACGGAGGATAAATTTATGCAGCAGTGATATCATTTAGTATAGCTAGCTTCTCGAAATACAATCTTGTCAAAGTAAAAATCAAAGAGGGACTTCCCTGGTGGTGCAGTGGTTAAGAATCCGCCTGTCAATGCAGGGGACACGGGTTCAATCCCTGCTCGGAGAAGATCCCACATACTGCGGAGCAACTAAGCCCGTGCACCATAACTGCTGAGCCTGCGCTCTAGACCCTGTGAGCCACAACTACTGAGCCAACATGCTGCAACTACTGAAACCCACGTGCCTAGAGCCGGTACTTCTCAATAAGAGAAGCCACCGCAATGAGAAGCCCGCGCACTGCAACGAAGAGTAGGCCCTGCTCACCGCAACTAGAGAAAGCCCACGCACAGCAAAGAAGACCCAACGCAGCCAAAATAAATAAATACCTCAAAAAAAAAAAAATCAAAGAAAAGTAACTTGATCTTACCTTAAAAGTTTGTTTTCTCTTTTCAAAAATAAATATTGGTTGAGCAATGACAGATTTTTCTGTAAAAGAACATGCAAGAAATCAAACAGTACTCTGACATTTCTAACACCAACTACAAATATTTGAAGATTTTTTGGTTTTGTATTTTTCCCTGCTTTTGGGTAATATCCAAACTGTTTTACATGAATGCTGTAAATCGCATATTTACAAATGATTTTAACAATTAATTAGAGAAATATTTGGGGAAAGTGATAGTAATATGTTTCCATAAATAGAGAGATCATCCCATTAAAAGAAAAACATTTAAATGTTTAAGGAAAACAAAGTACAATTACCTGCATTTGGAAACTCATCGTGACGTAGTGATTAACATCCTTACTTTTAGAATAAAACATTTCAAAGGATGAAAAATGTCATCTGAGGGCTTCCCTGGTGGCGCAGTGGTTGAGAGTCCGCCTGCCCATGCAGGGGACTCAGGTTTGTGCCCCGGTCTGGGAAGATCCCACATGCCATGGAGCGGCTGGGCCCGTGAGCCGTGGCCGCTGAGCCTGCGCGTCCGGAGCCTGTGCTCCGCAACGGGAGAGGCCACAACAGTGAGAGGCCCGTGTACCGAAAAAAAAAAAAAAAAAATCTCATCTGAGAGTAATGCTTCTACTTGGTTTGGATCTCAAAATATAAATGGTACAGATGTACTTAAATAATCCAGGAATAATTCATATTTCCTTGACTAGTCATATACTAAGTCATGTTTTCAATATTTAGACTAAGAATCAGTCTTAAACAGTATTGTAAAGTAGGTAGTTTGTCTTCAGCCCTGCCAACCTTATTAATCTTTTATATTTTCCTATCTTAGGTAAGGATAGAAAGGAACTCATTCACTCTAGGGTATAAATGAGTGATAGCATTAAATATCAGCACTCTAGAATTCTTAGGGAAGATTATATGGTTGTTAAAACTTGGAGGGGCTCTGGAGTTAGGGAGGCATGTGTTCAAATATAAGTTCCACCGCTAATTGGCAATATACTTTTGGAAACAATATGTCTGTACCTTAAGTTTCCTCATCCGAAAAAAAAAAAATGAAGACTATAACAGTACTTACTTTACAGAATTTATGTGAAAATTATGTGGATTTTTAGATATAATTACTTAGATTTTAATAAGACCAAAAAAAAGCCTAAAAGGATATTAGATATGTGGCGTGACACCAATCCCTATTCCAAAACTCATAGCTGACATTGCTAATCTATGACAACACTTTCTTGATGAGCCCCAATATTACCTCAGAACTTTTATCATTATAGGCTTCTAGCAGCCATTACCGATGTATCATGCTGGCATAGAAGCTGAGGTAATTTGCCATCACTGGTTAAATAAATAAAAGTCTAGCTGAAGAATTTCAAGGAACTACCAGATAATTACATCTTTTATATGCCAGAAAGGGGTTTTCCAGTTACCCACAATCTTATCCCATAATAGCGTGTCAAAACTCTGCCAGACCACCCTTTGCCAAGCTCCTGGGGCCCTGTGAACTTGGGTACCTTCTTTCGGTCCAGCAAGATAAGCTCCATTTTTTTATGCAAGTGCTTACTGTGCTGACTGTCCTTGGAGCCAAGTGAACCACAGCAGAAAATGCTCAACAACATATTGGCATTGCCATCCATATTAAACTGTAGCTCAATTCTTTGTTCTTTCTTAGAACAAGCTCCTTTTTCAGCAATTACATTAGATTTAAGAAATGAGATCTCTAATGACTTTGAAAGGACATCGTCTTTGTGAATGTGCAGTGGAATACTTATGAAGTGGAATAATAAATGGACCTCTTCTAAATTGGACTTAGGATAGTTGTCCTTAAAATAGTATGACTTGACTGAACCGTAGATGAATAACATGTTGACTTTTCCTCTATCAAAACATAGAGCTAAAAATGGGCAAAAGTGATCTTCAATGGCAGCATTAAGTAGGAAGTCATAAAGGGTTACTTGTAGCTTGGAGGGCATGTGGTAAAGTAGGAAGGCCATTTTTTTTTTCATCAATTCAACAGATATTTATTGAGTATCTTTTTGTGCCAGCCACTGTGCTAGGATCTAGGTATACATTGTCTGATTGAAGGTATATTAGCCTCAGTGCAGCCACCTCCTCCGCCTGACACTGCCCAGCTCATTAGCTGGAAAACAGATGACCTCCTTACTTCCTCTTCCATCTAGATTCTCTCTCCCTTTCTCAAACCAGTCCTTTGGCTCCAAAGGCAAAGTCAAGAGTAAACATTTATCAAGCCATTGGGTTCATAGCACTTTTCTAACCTGACCCAGTAGGAAAACTTGAAAATAAGATCACGGTCCTTAAAATGATATATTTTAAAATGTATCCTTTCTTCTTTCTAACATATTTGTTGATCAATCCACTTATTCAACAAATATGTATTGAGGGGTGACTGTATACAAGTCACTTTGCAAGGTAAGAGAGAGAGGACAGTGGTATAAGATGAGGCTTGAAGATGAAGTTGGATTATCTAAGATAATCTTCCCGTCTCAAGATCCTTAACTTAATCACATCTACTGGGTTTCTTTTGCCACATAAGGTACATATTTACAGGTTCTGAGCATTAGGATACAGACATCTTTAGGGAGCTGTTATACTGCCTACCACACATACAAAATATTGAGGTTCTGTCTGAGCACTCTCTACTCAGTTCACAGAATGCTGGCAGCCAGGTTTATTTCCTCCAGGCAGGAAATTATAAGATTTTACTCTGGAGAGTCTGACCAACCCGAAAGAAAAAAACAAAAGATATGGGCAAACAAATTTCTCAGTTAATGTCAAACCAGATGATGAGAAACCAGTGCACGTGTACATAGCTGCCAATGAGCTTTTTAGTGAGTGCCCCTTTCTTAAATATAAGCAGGCAATCAAGGGTCACCAGACGTACAATTCAGTGATTGAATGAGTAAACAGAAGGAAAGTAAACTGGAGGGGAAAGACTATGCAGAGAGTTTAATATATATTTTCTAAAATTATATACAAATAATTTATTTTCATATATATTTTATAATTATATATCTAATATGTATATAATTAACATCCTCACAAATATGAAACATCCATGAAGCAAAAACAGAGTACTATTTTTTAAAAAGAGCAACACAGAACAAGAATAAGCTTTTAGAAATATAGACTTTAAAATATGGTAGTAGAATCAATGTTGACTTAAAAACATCAATAGAAGATTTAGAGAATAAAATTGAGTAAGTAGTCCACATAGCAGAGCAAAAGAACAGAAATGAAAAATGTGAGAAGAGATAAGAAAACTCAGATGATCAGTCCAGGAGTCACTTCAATGCCTGACTAATGGAAGCTATAGAGAAAGAGGATACAGGAAAAAGAGGGCTTGAAATTATCAACAAATAGATCATTAAAATTCCCCAAATCAAAAGACATATGTTTCCAGTTTGAAAGAGCCAATCCAATTCTCAGAACAATACATGAAAATAGAACCGTACCAATGCACATCATGAAATCTTAGAACACCACTAAGAAAAGGTCCTATTGGCATGGAAAAGGGGGTAAAAAAAAAGTCACATATGAAGGGTTAGGTATCGGAATGGCTTTAGGTTTCACAACAACAATCCTGTAAGTTAGAAATCAAAGGATCAATGCTTTTAACACTCTGAAAGGAAATGATTTCCAGTCTAGAATTATATGCTAATATAATGTACCGATTAAGTGTAAAGACATGATAAAAACATTTCCAACTGTAAGCTCTCAAAGTATGTATCCCACGTGCACTCATTCTCAGGATGCTTCTAAAGGAAGTGCTCTACCAAAAGAGCTAGTAAACTAAGTAGCCAAGAAACAGGGGCACCGACTCAGAAGAGGTGAAGGCAGCCTCCAGGATGATGGTGAGAGGATAGCCCAGAACGATAGCAGTACACCAATTGCAGAGAATAACCAGTCCACAATGGGGGAGGTCCCTGAGGAGACTCCAGGAAAGAAGTCTTCAAAAGGATGGAACTAAAAACAGTTGAATATCTCAAGTAACTGAATACTTTGAAAGCATATTTAGATAATTGGAAGAGACTTTGGGGGTTGACTGGTAACTAGTACGTAGAGAACTAAGAAAACAAAACAAAACAAAAATATGACACAATTATTAAATCCAGAGAAAACAAAAAGTTGGGCAGGAAAACAAAAGTAATCAAAATATATTACATAATCATGACGATGTGAATACTGAATATTGATCTAATCAGACTTCTGATGCAGTGATTTTGGGAAGATGGGGGAATGGAAAGCATTCATGTGTATGGTGGTAGTGGGTTGAAGGGGTCAGAAAAATCTGTGAAAGGGACCTAAATTCTTCCATAGTTGTAAACCAGTAGCACCTAAACATAAATATAAAGAAGTAGCCCTAAATGCCTGGTATTTGGTTAAATGGAGGTTAATACAAAAGAAACAGCTGTGAGTTGGATGCTGTTACCTCTGGGGACCAAGAAAAAAGAAAGCAGAAGAAGGGGCCAGGAGGAGATTGCTACTTTTTTCCAGAAAAGTCTTGTAGGACCATTTGATCCCTTAAACCACATGAATATACGTAACTTTGAAAAAATAAAAACCAAATTTGAAAATAATTTCTTTTCTACCGTAGTGTCAGACACTCACGATCAAAGGACAATTCTCACGCTCCCGGCCAGCGACAGACTTCTTATTGAATTATACTGCTTAACAAGTACCCAGTATCTTATTTCTTTGGCCTACCTGTTCTTTGCATAGAGATATATGGAAATAGATGTGTGGGCAAGATGGATTCACTGAATTCAGAGCGCAATAACACGCTTCTGAATAACTAAAGATCTGCTCTTTATAATGCCGTCTAATCTACTGAAAGGCATTTTATCTTCTTGTCCTTCACCTTCATTCAAAATACTCCTTCACATCTCCAGACAAGAATTCAGCTAGAACATTATGCATAATGTAAGAGCTTTGTTCTTCAGGATTCTAAGGTAGTGTAATGGTCAGTGTTAACAGTAAATATACACTTCTTTTCTCCCTATTCTAATATGTACCA